AGCTCGCTGGATAACTGTTGCATAGAAATTTTCAAAGCCGTAATTATAGTATTTAGGAATCAAGAATCCCCAAGATCACTTCATTGATATTCTTGAAATCACTAAAATAATTATATATTAGAGGATCTAACCCAGAATAGGTAGATTATGCATAACACCTTTATTTTGTCTCACAAACTCGCAGGTGATACATTTCACAATTATACTAGGCGATCATGTATGCAGATTATATAACGCAAAAAAAAATAAAGTATAAGTTATACATTGCGCCTTTAGCTAAATGATATTAATCTTCAGTTGAATCAGTTAAACGATCGTGATTACTGTCCCATCTCTCAATCTTAGTACAGTACCTTTTGGTTGATTAAGATGGTTTAAGTTATTTTGTTTTGCGTATATAGATGAAATAAATATTTCGCTTTCACTTGTTCTATTAAACTGCAGGAGGGAATCAGATGTATTTTTCCAGGATATAATACCTCCCTTTCTGTCAGAAGATTTTTTATGTAATATTTCTGACTTTGAGTTTTCGAGAAGATGGGCTGGTCTCTTTAGGACCGCTTCTATATGTTTATTAGTCTTGAAACATGAGTTATCCCAATGATGTTTCATCAAATCTTCAGGCTTAATCTTATACCCATATCTCCGCCATCCACTGAAATATGTCTTTTTTGGTTTTACATCAGTGATCTCTACTAATTTCCAACAATCGAAGCAAATAGCCATCTTGCAATTGTGAATATTAGGTCTGTGATAACCAATGGCAACTTCTCTCCCTTCATAGTCATTATAGTATGTCTTGGTTATTCCCTGCCCAGATGATCCGAAAAGGCAGAATACATGATAATAGCTTCTATGGCCTTCAGTAATCAATGCTTGCAAAGTGTCTTTTACACGAATAGCCCATTGCTGTGGAGTTTCATACGAACTAATAATAGATAAATTATCATATATTCTTTCAACCTCAACCATCTTTTCGAATTGACCAGGATAAAGAAAACCATAACGGTTTCTAATATATTCAATATCATATCCAAGACGAAGATTGGTGGGTTTAGGCACAGATTTATTATAAACCTCGTCTAAAATAATGTCAATGTATTTACCAGGTCTAGGTCTATTAACAATATTTCCTGACATAATTATCAATTTATAATGTTTTTAGTAAATTTTAGTAATTCTTTAGCAACTTATACTAGATAATATCACCATTCAAATTTATACGAATTTATTAGCGGTTAATTGATTTGTAGCCGATTTGAGAGACTACATACTGCTAAATGTCGGGGATTTACTGGCTATGCATATGCACAACGCCGGCTAAATCAGTATATCGTACCACATGAGATCTCCCCTAGTTCTAGGAGAGTTCCAGAGTTTCTATAAATCACGAGATGATCGGCCAATTATATTCCGGGAAAATTAGATTACACAGGTGCAGTAGTCAATGGCGCAGTACAAAGGAATTCTGAACATGCATCCACTAATCATGCAGTAGTCAGTATCAATTAAAAAAAAATATTATAACACATATGGAAAATTATATTGCCGGACGTGCAAGTCACAGACGCAGTAATGTGTGGCGTAATACACCGAAGTACTTTAGCAATTACGTATTTAATGTCATCCTTAGACAAAGCCGTTATAGTTGATAATGAAAAAGTTTTATCACCACATCAATATGCTGACTCACCGAAGAAAAAATGTCAAGACTTTGATCGTTACCAATGGTAACGGTTTTTGCCAAGAATTATGAACTAATTATATTATCTGACCATGAAATATGCTAGTAGGCAATCATTCAATGACTTTATCGAATGGATGTTCCGTAATCGAGTAAATTACTATTCACACAATGTATACAGTACATAATAAAAACACAATTTGTAACGCCAAGAAAAATTTTTATAATAAAATTTATTACACATATATATAAGCTGATAGTACTGTATACTATTAATATATACATTCCGTCAGCATATATATACTTGATGCACCCACACCACCCCATAATTACATGTATATAGATAAAAAAAAAATCACATGCGCGTTCTGTTTCGGAACACCGATAAAAATGCTGACGTCTATACAATAAAAGCATGTTTATTTTCCAATGCATGTTGCATCTCCACATCGTAAAATACACGTTAAAAAATACAAGGCAAACAATAAAAAAATCGGGAACTGCATGCCCTATTTAACACACTATATTAAAAAAGGTTCCTTACAACTTGTATTAAGTGTCCGTCTCTTGTAGCAAGACCCAGCAAACATTTTTACCGAATGAACCAATAGATCAATCCTGAATCACAACTCAAATCAAGAGTAAAATTAGTCACTTGCAAGAGCAATTGAGAAAAGAAATTGACTCACTAATCAAAGGTATAGAAAGTAGGTATAGAAAGCAAATAAAGCAAAAGAAGTTAACAGGAAGGTTAGAAACTTATCTACAACCTTCTCTTTTTTATTGCACTCTTTTTCTTCGACTTCTCACTTTTTGGTCTCTTTTTCTTTCTTGGGGTGGGCCAAGAATCGGCGAAACATTCAATCGATGATTGTGACGTAGAAGAATAATTTCCAACTTCTAATATATCGTTTAGCAAATCATCATCATCTCCTGATTCAATATTTGCATTCCGGATATTCAGTGTACGTAAGTTATCCCTTATAATAAGCTGTGAAATGATTAGGAAAACAGTAAGATGAATGAAACCGTATGTACAGTACAAGTCTTACCTTATGTTGATATACTGCTGCCATAAATTTTACAAAAGATTTTATTCCATCTTCAGAGAATTTGCTATATACATGGTGAGATACAACATCCTTCTTAAAAATACAAATCGATCCTCCGGCACGATATAATCTCGTGAACTGAATCCATAGACCGAGGTGCAAAATACCGAAAACTTGAAGATTATTAGCTTTTTGTTCATCATAATTCGCTGTTCTCACAAGATCAGCATACATATCGCGGAGCGTTTTCGGCATCTTGAACGTTTCAAGAAGGTATTTTTGATCTGAAACACCCAAAAATGATCTCGCCGCTTCGATTGCACCCACTTCGAGATTTCTGTCAACTATGTATACTATCCCATCGATTTTGCGTCCTGTCAATTTTCTGGTTTTTGTGTTTCCTGACCGACCGCGGTTTTTCCTGTTGGCGCTAGATAGTGATGGTGCGTCGGTCCTACAAGTAGTGATAAATAAAGTTATGTTAAAAGTGAATATATTATCTACAGTACACCAGTGGAAAAATGTGTAAACCTCTTAATATCCGTGCACAATTGAATATCCCTCATACAAAGGTCGATGCACGTCCCAAAAAAAGCGACAGTAAACCAATTCTCGTATTGGTTTCTAATTAAGGGGGCATCTATGTTTTCGTATAGATTTACTAGCGTTCGCACTGCCATCTGTATCCACTCCTTATCGTAGTGCTTGTTGATATCATAGATGGTCCCATCTTGTAGATACGATGTCAACACGGAATTACGAAGCTCACTTAATGTTTTTTGCTTGCCGTATCTCACTAGTTCCTCCCCGATTTCACGCGGAACAGCCGGAATCCTAATTCTGTCCTCAGTTAATTCGTCCCATTCCGTTTTGGTGAACAACGCCTTGACATCTTCGTCGTCATAATTTATAATGTAAGAGTGGGCATGGCTGATAACATATGTCAGAATCACGAATAATAAGATAAAAAAAAAGAGATCAAGTTTTGAGAAAACTTACTGTTCATGCTCCATATCTTTGGCGAAATCGAAAAGAACATCTTCAACTATCTTTCCTGACTTCAAATGCATCTTCGCATTATCTGGAATAGCATGGTGCGCTTCGCGAAAAGCCAATTTGTTTATTTTAGGAGGATCTTCATCGTCCTTATTTTCATCTGCATCCGACTAAATAGCATAAGTAGACTGTGAGATATGTAAAATAAAATAATAAGAATTCTGTTATTAACATACTTCAACTGGTTCTTCATCGTCACTCTCAAACTCCTCAAACTCAATAACATTGGACGAAGCAACTTTACTTCCGCAATAAGGACAAAATCTCATTGGTCCGGAGATATTAATCTAAAGAATCAAAAAAAAAAAGGTAAATATTGTTATCCGTTGCAATAGCAAATTTAATGCATTTACCTCCATGTGACACTTGGAACAATGATCTCGTTTAGAAAACAGATTGGGTGATGGTCGTTCGGAAGAACTCTGAAAAAAATTATTTATTTCATAATTCAAATCCTACGGGGGTGAAAAGTCAGTATCATAAAATATATCATAGAATGGCATTGACAATAACATGAACTTACATAGCTATCACCATAAACAGCTGTTCTACGATTTTCTACATCATTGGATTTTGCGCCTTGAAAATTTTTTCTGGTCGTAATAGTTTTTTTCTTCCTTTGCTAAAGTGGATTATTGTTAGTAAATAACATTCTATATACAGTATAGCTTTCTGATAATATGCTTACTTTTGCATCTTCATGTATTTTGTCCATCAAAGTATCTCCGATAATTTTCAAATATTCTGTTTTCTATTTGGGAGCAAACTTATCAGATTGGGCTAGGATAAACACAATAAAAATATAAACCATACAATAATATTTCCATGAAGATTATGGGTATGTTGTACAACACCGGGATCAATGTTCTTGATGGTTGCAATATCAATTAGGCTTTGAACGTATTGGCTAAACACTTGCTGTGCCGTCACCGTTGGATCACTTGCGTATATCAATCTTGTAAACTTTTCAATGTCACTCCACCATCTCAAGGAAGTATTAGAGAAAAACTTGTTGATTCCAGTGTGTGGCCGGCAAAATCTTGCGTCCAGTACAAACTTGTCAAGTTTATTCATCTACGTTAAACAAAATGAAGCTTGATTAATATCAGTAATCTACAGATATTCGCTACAACTATACTTGGTAGCCCTCATCCGGGTACAAGTTGATCAGCCACATTATGTATGTTGAAACACATGATGTTCGCAGGCAATCCCTCACATTGCAACTAGGCACTCTTTTATGTTGAATTATTAAGCACGGTTGCGGACCTCCTGCAACACAGGAAAACACTCTCCCAAACGTAAGCTCTTTCCGCAGTCTCTTCTCTTACACGTGTGTTGAGCACGGAAGATTTGCATGTAAACCCTGGGGCGTTACCAGCCAGCATCCATTCTGTCCAAAGGACATCAAGCTGTCCGACCAAGCAGGCCACCTTTCGTGTTGAACTACCAGGCAGGACTTGGTGGTCCCCATGCAACAAAAAGAGGCGCGTGTACATAATAAACAGAAAATTAATATTAAATAATACTTAACTTTAAACGATAAAACTTCAATGACAGGTTAGTAAAATTTTTTGAGAAGAAAATCGAATGTCGCACAATATGATCTTTAATTATTTAATCAGTTGTCGGTCAAAAATTCGATCACGTGCCAGTCGTGCCATCCAATATACATTTTTTAAAAAATGAGGATGCAATGCCCGAAATGGGCGAAATTTTATTAATTTTTCAGATTTTTGTATCGAAAGTATGATATGCCGAAGGAAATTGCTTATATTCCGATTGCAGTAAAAATTATTCGTTTTACTGCGCCGGAAGTTTGATTTAAGACATGTGACGAGTATTAAGATAAGCCACAATTTTACTGCGCTGATTAGACACGTGCTGGCGATCATGATTTTCTCGGCGAAGATCAAAGTGCTAATATATAACAAGAAAGGTAATGAGTCCGCTTCAAATATCTTTAGATAGGGAAAAATCGCTTAATATCGTGATGCCACGTTTCAAGAAGCTAATCGAACAATAAGCCACTTACTTTATTATTACTTTGCGGAAAAATAGAGTTTGTTTGATTAACGGCAAGTTTTATCATGGTTTATTAGTTTGCTTTATTTTTTTCGCTTATATTTGCACAAGACAGTTAAAAGGATTTACTAACTGGGTCAGCACCTTTTTATATATTTTTTCAGGATCGATTTGGAAGTATCCCTTTGGGGAAAATTACGTTATTGTCCTTAATTTAATATTGAAAGAATTTAAGGCTATCCCGTTTATAAGAAGATCACCATAGGGGATATCGGTTTAATCCGTGCAAATCATTAAATTATGCTAGAACATTCCGGATTTTTTTATTATATTCGAAAAAATAAATACAAGGTACGGGTCTTAGCCCGTGATACATGTGACGATTGTGATGTCTATATGACTGTTTCGAATGATACTGTGCATTTATTAAGTTCTAGATTAATGATTTCATTGCAATAAAACTTGATCGAAAAAATATATTAGCATACATGCTTCTCATAATCTCTCCATTGTATATCTGGATTTTGTAAATTAATTGCGTCTTTGCTTTATTGATCATACAAGAAAAAATACATAGTACAGATCAAACAAAGACTGCTACATGATGATGCTACTTCAAACTAGCTATTTATAAATAATTGAAGCATTATACCACTTCTTCCCCTTCTGTGATGCTAATATTATTCTCAAAATCCTAAATGAAAAAATTGTCTATTAGCTTGTTACTTCCTTGCAAATACCCAATACAACTGAAAGTAAACTGTATAATGTATTGTCCAAAAGTTTCTTCTCCAGTATTTTTTTGCCAGCACTCTTTCATACTGCAGTACATCGTGAATGTTGCATCACTTACCTATTTGGAAAAAAAATATCTAGATATCGTACTATGCATTTTTTCAGATGATTGATCTCACATGACTGGCCTATGCTACGATCGCGAATTTGAATTTATTGCTTGAAGTGAAGCAAGAAAGACAATATTCTGTTCCATTTTTATACCATTCGCCATGTAATCCATAATTCCCATGTTTTCCATCGCAAATAGGACATGGTGAGCTCCACGGCTGAGGT